ACCTCACCTTTTTCTGTTTGCCTTCTCCAGGCAAGGGGCTTGCCCCCACATTTGTTGGAGGGAACCTGTGAGGCCTTAAGGGAACCTCAACCAACCTGACCCCTTCATTGTTGCCAATCCTAGTACTGGGTTGCAAAGGGTTGTGTGGTGAGCACAGGCCAGGCAGGTTGCTGCCATCCATCTTGCTGCCACTCCCATTGAGACTGTGGGCTGTGCCATCCATCCCCAGACCAGCCCTGTCCATGCCATTGGTGGCCATTTACTGGCCAGCGAAGAGCTACAGAAAGATTTCAGGGTGATCACACTTGCCTGTGTGAGCATGACCTCCTCATCTGCTTCTTCCACTTCAGCAGGTGGTGCCTTGTGCAGGCAAGGCTTTTCACCCATGGGCTGATCTGCCTGAACAGGCAAGGTGGCACCACCAGCACTGGAACTTGAAGCTCCTTTGCTCCCACCATGCAAAGCAACCAAGAGCCCTTTGTACCACTCAGGCATCAATGAACCTGTCTTCATATTTCGACCTTTTCTGCCCACATGCCAGAGCATCCACACAGCTTTGGGTGCTCCTGGGGAAAGCCTTGAAAACTGCTTTCCTTTCCAGCTGTTTGCTCATCCCACCACACACTACAAAGTTAAACCAGCCATGGAGAAAATTTGAGTGTTTTTCTCCTACTTCCTCCTCTGTTCGAAGAAACATCTCTTCTGTGATGCCATGGGGAAAAGTTGCTTTCAGCACATGGGTCGCTTTCAATGTGGCATCCTCTGCAGGCTTTGTCGAAGCAGAGCCACCCTGGACTTCCTTGGCTTTCTCTGAAATAAATACCTTCATCTCTGTGCCTCTCTGCAGGCAAGCCTTGCACAGGCAAGAGCTGCAAAACTAAGATAGCTTGAGCCACAGTGCTGCCACACAATTGAAAAATCAGATCACCACAAAAGTTTGAAATGGAGCAAGAATTTGTTCCCAATTATGTAAAAAATTAGGTAGATACAGAAGACTGCAAACACAGTTCAAGGCAGTTTCAATATGATGCAACATTTCTGCAAATAAAACAAAATCTTAAAAGCTCAAAAAAATCGCTTCTAGCAGCTCAAAAATTGAGCTTCCAAGAAGCTCAGTTTTTGAGCTTCTGGAAGCTTCCTCAAGTTTAAAACACAAAGAGTGGAGAAGCTCAAATTTAAAGCTGCCAGCTCAAAAAATTAGCTTCCAAAAATTGAGCTTCTAAAAACAAGCTTCTCGGAAGATCAGGGAGGTTGGAGGCCATCGCTAGTAGGTTGGAGGCCATCGCTAGTAGGTAGTACTAGGTAGGAGGCAATTGCTACTAGGGTGGAGGCCATCGCTACTAGGGTGGAGGCCATCGCTAGTAGGTTGGAGGCTATCGCCAGGTTGGGGGCCATTGCTAGCAGGTTGGAGGCCATTTGGAAGCCACTCTCCAACCGCAACCGGCTCCTGGTCCCGGAGCCTCACCCATTTGGCCCAAACAGCGGAACCGGTGTTTGGACCTTCCGGCATTTTATACAACCGCTCACCAGGTCGTGCCCGAAGAGACCCTTCTCGGTGGGCGAAGGGTTTGGATCTTTCGTTAAACTCATGTGTATTTCCTTTGTTCACCCCATCTGGATCCATGAAGACCACCCCCTCGATTTTGGAATCCTTTTTTCACCCATGAAGATCCGAAGTCACTCGGGGGATTTTTCCCTTGGCTGTCGACGCGTCCCGTGGCTTTTGGGCTGAAAAGAACGTTTCCGAACATGCAGGCTGAGCCCAAGGGATGGACTCCGAGGCCCGAACGTCATTGTTGCGGTTTTTGTTTTCCACCCTGGTCCTTGTTGGATTGAAGCCAACGACATGTGGTTTCTTGCCAGCTATTGGAGGTGTTCTTCTGGTCGAGGAGCATCGCATTGATTTGGGCCATGGTCACAAGAATGTTGCCCACGAAACTCTCCACGTTGGGTGCCAAAATGCTCAAGTCTTTGCTGACAAGCTTGTCAATTGAAATGCCACTGGTTGCCGAGCGATAATCACCACTGAGGTAGCCTCTTCGGTCATGTGGTGGATAGACAACAGAAAGGAGTTCAAGCTCTAAAAATGTAGGATCTGGAGTCCACCACTAGATTTGCAATTTCGGATGGATGAATGGGAATTCTGTGTAAGCACTCCAAGAAGCTGCCACACCCAAAGCAAAAGGCATGTTCCAAATGGTCGCCTTCTGCATATACTCCTCTAAGCTCCACCCCGGCCCTGCCATCACATAGGGAACACAAAGCGAAGTGTTAGCTCGGCAACTTGGTGCAATCCACCAGTAGCCATCATCGCATCGTGCCGAATATGAACCTGAAGTGCTGTTGAAGACCGTCCCATTCGCATCGCCGGTGAAGTGAATGTGTCTTCTCATGCTTGCATCATCTTGCATATTCGACACGGGGTCGCTACATGGCCTGATCAAGGCTGGGGAAAGACCATAATTTAATAGTTTCTAAATCTATATATAATAGTGATGGCCTCCAACCTAATAGCAATGGCCTCCAACCGGCCTGATCAAGGCTGTGGAAATCATTGAGATTGAATCAAAGTACTTGGAAGGCTGATACCATGAGGCGTTCCAATTGCGGAAGTACTGCAGCGCCACGCCTTCCGTCTTGTATGCTTCCTTCTGGACTGGCTTCGGAATAAAGGCAGACACCACCCCATCATACCCCATATTGCCCAAATTCTTGGCTGCGACATTGGGGTATTTGTCTTGAAGCGATTGCCACGCCAAAGGGTAGAGGTCTACCCAAATTTCCATACTGATGTGGTACTTGCTGACCTCAACTCTGCAAATGAGCGGACTAATGGCAAGGGAGTCATTCCCAGAAACGTGTACATGGTACAAATACATGCACACAAAGATATAACACGATATAGCAGTCTTCACATTCATCTACTAAAGTACCACTCCAAAAACGATTCAAAATGCATTTTTCGGTGCCAAGGCGTGTGGTTTCTTCAGCTTCGATCCCCCCATTCTCAGAGCCAAACTCAGAATGTTAGAGACGAGTTTGGAGATGAGGGTTTCTCCCTGTTGGTCTTGCATTTGCTTCGCTGGTTTGAAAGGCGCTCCAAACTTAAAGTCGTTTTTTTGGTGCACTTTTTGCGACTTTTGTGGCATTGTTGACATGATCCTGATCGACTCATTCATTTGTTCCCGCAATGTCTGTGGGAATTGCGCAGGCGTTCCAGCTGTTGAGTGCACATCTTCTATGTTGGGCGTGGGCACAGCATGTCGAGATTTCTGTGGCTTTCCAATCTTTTGCTGTTTGGGACACTGGATCCCTTTCCATCCTTTAGATGAACCTAGCGCGGTTCATCCGCCAGATCAGAAAAAACCATATTATGGGACCCCATATGGGTGGACCCTACGATACTAAATACCATGCCACTATACATGCCCATATCAAACACATGTCTAAGAGCTTGATCAAACATGCACCGCGAAACGGGTCCTACCGAAGCCACCAAAAACCGAAGCCACTCAGGTGGCACTTTTCAATCCGATGCAACGGGCGACCGGGCTTCGATGGCTTCGACCTGTTCCCTTTCCTCCCCCGTGTGGTCACGGTTCTTACTAAGGCTGGATGTTGATCGAGGGTCGCATGTTCGGCGTGTCATTGTTTGTTCCAGCCCGTTTTCCCCAGCAATGGCCTCCAACTTCGTATGGGAGATGGATCTCAGGGTTTGCCGTGTGGAACAGCCCCAAGTTCTGGGATTTGCTGAGTCGGAAAACGGGAAGAAAAGAACACATAAGCCCCATGCAGTTCGGGGATTGAAACAGTTCGGGAAAATAGACCATGTTTATCAAGCAAAACCAGGCAAAGCACTGCCTCGGAGTTGCAGCCCTGATTGACGGCGCTGGTTGGATCCGTACAACCACTGAGGGCGTAGAAACTGCTCGGACTGCTCGTGCCACTCCCCAGGCTGATGTTGAAACCAAAGATCTCCTGGCAACTGGATTTGGATTCTTGGACCATTTCCATGTCCGACCCCCACCCCAGGTTTTGTTGACCCGTCTCGCAGGAAGGGAAGACGTGTTCGTTTCCACAAGGCGGAGAGCATTCCACTTGTTCTCCTCAACGATGGTTCCCACCAGAATGTTGGCAGCGGAGGACGCGGCCCAATCTGGAACGTAGATACCAATGGGGTAGGATTCACCATTGGCATTCTCCTCAAACGAACGCCCTGCTGATTTTTGCGGCTAAGAGAGTGGAGTGTGACCGCGGAGGCGGTCAGTCACGTTCCATGTTTGGCTTTCGGATTTGAAATCGGGGCCATGCCATCCACCTAACCATGACCATTTCAGGTAGTGTAATTCCTTTTGAACAATGTAACTATCTTTCTTTGCCCGCCTTCACTCCGATCTCTGATGGGAAGACCTGCTTCTTCCGATCCCCACGCTGGTCGTCTGACTCGAAATTTTTGCAAAACGCTGCGTATCGCAGAAAAATGAATCCTTAATGACCAAACATGTTTCATTCCCAAACATTTCCAATCACTTGACCATCCATGTCTGCAACCTGATTTGCACTGTTCTTGGACATCGAGTGAGGTTCACAGAATCATCTTCTCAGAAACCTGAATGGACCCCATCAACCACGCAACTTTCAGTCATTTTTCCACTGAAACTTGATCCTTTTTTCATGAATAGCGTCATGAATGCCGGTCCTCAATCCACCCCAAAACACAGGACACGTGCGGAGATTTCATGGTCGAACGTCCAGAAATGGTCACCACCTATTCTCCGATCATAAGCAATCGAACGGCGGGCTATTGAAGACAAACAAGTGGCCTATGCCATGCCGCTAGGGAAGCTCGTCACTCTACCCTGGAATAATCCCGAGTACCTATTAATAAACGCTCCCCAAGGTAAAAAAGCGCAACGTCCGAAACCCTAAATTCGGTTTATATTTGGTTTTAAATTACCGCCCTTTCAAAACGCTACTAAACTACCAACATGGTTGATTTTGGGGGTAATTTTTAAAATTGGGTTCCCCTAAAATTCCCTCGTGACAAGCCGCCTTTACCCCAGCCGGTTTTCCTTTCTCCAATGGCACGGACTCACGCAAACGCACTTGCCTCCGAGGTCGTGCAAAACCGCTTGGCACAGCGACGTCACCTTTCGAAAGCTTTGGTTGTTAGCCTAATGAAGATTCAGTATTCTAATAAGGTTTTTGTAGGGGAAAAGGAAGACCCTTCGATCTGGAAGCTTGTTGAATTTTTGATACGAGTTTACTGGTCTGCTTTTAACGAAGTTGATAAGTTGATTTCGAAAAATATTGCATAGGTGCTGACTAGGTGCTGACAGACAGACAAACCCTCGTTACTCCACTCCACCACTAATAAGGTTGAAGTTGATAAGTTTTAAGTTGTTATTCAGAAGCCTGGATCCTAATAGCAATGGCCTCATTTGCAAAGAGTCAGATTTAATAGCTGGAACCCTGAGGTGAACACCATCTTGGATGGTCTGTGGCTGTTGGAAACAGATAAATATCAAGTAGTCACGACGCACAGCATCACTTGGTGGGCCCGGCAATCAGAAAAAGTATTTGATGTTTTTAAGGAAAACTGTGATCTACCAAGTGGCGAGCGTCGCAAGCCCTTACAACCATCACTACCGCTAGCGATTGCTCTAGTGGGATTTTGATTTCGCTGGAGCACCCTCAAAGTAGCAATGGTGGCAGTCACTTGTTGCGAAGGACAGTCTTTTGAACCAGGTCCAGTGAAATCATGACCCCGCTGTGCGTCTCACTACCGCTAGCGATGGTTCTACCAGACTGCGACCGTCGCAACCTGGTAGATCACAGCTTCCCTTAAAAGCACCAAATATATTTTTTCCGGATCAGTGGCTCTGTGGGTACCTCCAGAGGTTGTCACCTGAGGTTGAAGTGGATGGAGTGGAATGGAGTGGGGTGGAGTCCAAGCTCCAAAGTGATTGTTATTATTATAAGGTCCTGACAGGTGGGGTCTTTGAAAAGATATTTGAGAGATGTGACCCAATTGAATTGGGAATGGTGGAGTGTGGTGGAGTGGACTGGACTGGACTGGATTGGAGTAACGAGGCTTTGCCTGTCTGTCAGCACCTATGCAATATTTTTTGGAAATCAACTTATCAACTTCTTTAAAAGCAGACCAGTTTAATAAAGGACTTTATATAAAACTTTTCTGGATGACTTTTTGGTTTTGAAGCTCTTCCCAGGTGACCCTATTTTGGACCCCCCGATTTCAGGGACCCCCTATTAAAAAAATGCGACCGAGTTTTTTTAATAGGGGGGGCCGTGTTTATTGATAGGTGGACGATGGTGGACGGGATTATTTATCTTTCGACTATTCTGATGACATGGTTGAGTTGTTGGAAAAGAATGGAAAAGAACGTTTCATATCATTCATCATTCATCATCCATCATCCATCACTCGGATCCGAATCCTTGACGAACACCCTCCCTCCCCGGCACCTGACCTGTATGAACCACCCGCCGCGAACGACATCCGATCGCGAACCTCCGCAACGTCTCGCGACTTGAAACCAAAGAGGCCAAGTTCTTCCGCTCGTGGGGTGGGATACCGCCCTCGAGGCAGACTCCGGTGACCACGTGGACAAGACCTCAGCTGGCGACGAGTCGGCCGGTCTGCGCAGCCAGCTTTTTGGCGATTTCGGATGGGGAAGCGGCGGAAGCGGCGAACCACTGGTTAGTTTGTAGCTCAGAGGACACTGACCAGGCTGGTTTGAGGTCAGGGAGCCTTTCCTTTTTCTGTCGCTCAGAGTGCAACACTTATTAAGCACTCCTTCAGCCAAGATGCTGGCCAAGACGGGAATGTTCATCTCCTCTCCTTGTGCAAATCGCAAGTAGAAGGAGCTTGAAGCAAAATGCTGCACGCCACATTGGTGGCTCCTTCCTTTTCCCGACCCCGACGCCATGCTGCCCAGAAAGGGATTTCGTTCACAGTGAACACCCCTCAAGAACCGCATTTGCTTCAGGTCCAGACGCCTTAATGTTTGAACACCCCGATCACCCCTGCTATCTAGATAGTCAAGGATTTTTACCCAAACACCACTGGCATGGGACTGCCATATTTGTCTACAATTGGGGTGGTTGAGTCTCTCAGGGGTCGTCCCACAAAGACGGCCATGCCAGTCGTGTCAGGATCCACGCGGCTCCGGAAACCGCTCCGGACGAGGCGAACCGGTCGCGTACTGGGGCGCTAAGCGGGGGCGCTCCGAAAAGGACGTCCGCGGTGCGAAGACGTCCGTCCGTGGTGAAATGGATGGGGTTCCGGAGAGACCGCAGCTCCAAGGAATGAGAAATGGTCCTAGTAGCGATGGCCTCCACTGCCAGCTTCTTGATCTCCGGTGGAGACTTTCATTTGAATTGGACCGGTATCTTAGTCACAATGTTCGTCAGCAACTCCACCCATATTTTTGCTCGCACTGCAACCTCATTTTCTTCGGATCGGAGCAACACGCAAAGTTCTGCGCTGAAGTTCTGAAGGTGCAAGCGGCAAGGTTACTAGTAGCTTCTTGTTACTAGTAGCGATGGCCTCCAACCTACCTGCGATGGCCTCCACCTAATAGCGTTCTTCCATATATAGAAGCAAGAATTCAACCACCTCCTTCAACGCCTCGCCAGATTGGCCCAGATCAGCACGCGAGAAGCTCTGAGACGGCGACCCACACTCGGTCACGCAGCTCGGGCACAAGGTACAAGCGGTGATCTTCGTCGGACATTTTAATCGGAAGAAGATTGACACTATAAAGGATCCGACTCGACCCTCCCGTTCGCGGAAGCCTATATAACAGGGGTCGGTTTGGGGCTCGGGGCCCCAAACGGTTGACCAGTCCAGATCCTTGGGATTGTTGACGCCGCGCTTCCAACCATTCGGTTCTCTCGCATCGTCCTCGATGTGTCCATCCAGTTAGGCTTTGAGTGTTCAGTTCGACCAGACCTGACCCGGTGCCGAACTCCAAGTTCGGTCACTTGCGGGGAGTTCCCTTTTCTACCGCAAGAAAATGGTGAAGTGACATCCATCAGGACCCGTAACCTGGGGTGCCGTTTTGGGATACCTCGTAACTTGGGATTAGTACTTTCCGGCTCTCATCGTGGTCCTGTTCGGAACACTTGGAGGTCTGCATGGATGTCAACATGCGTGAGATCAATCAAAAAGGATTCAGCTTGTTCTTTTTTGGGCTGGTCTCTCTATGGTGAGACACCGACACACCGACACACGGTCGAATCGAGACGGAGGAAAAAGCATGCGCGAAAAAGAACGCGGAATTGGCCACTTTGGTGCCTGGCCCTCGACGCAAACGGCGCGAAGGGCATGAAATTGAGATGGTTGTGGATCAAAAGCAGACCGACTGGCTGGTTGACTTGCAAGGTCCTTCGCTACCTGCAACCAGGGCGGGCTTTGTTACCCATTCGACTTCGTGGAGTGGCGGAACAGGTCCAAAACACAGGCGACTTGGACTAGCAAAAACTGAATGGAATGATCAGGCTATATATAGATTCCCTAGGGATCCAAGTACCTCGTCAAGAGGTACTTGGACCCTCCAAACCCACCCCAAACACCTTCTCAGAGGGTACTTGGATCCTTAGGGACTATGAATGACGATGTTCATCGTTTGGGGGGTTCACATGGTTCCTTTTCTCTTGGCCACAACCATTTCACGACTCAGTCATCCTGGCGCCAGAGGATGTATGGCAAGGTCAAGCGCCGCTTCCGCCTCAGCGCTCCGCCCAAGGACTCGCTCGCCCCGCTCTCCTCACCGCTGCGGCCCGAAGAGGAGTTCCTGGTACAATGGCGTCCAGCACCACAGAAAGGAATGTATCGGAAAATAGAGAGATGTCTACTAGGACCCACAAGAGGTGGTGAATGGACACCCCGAATCACCTCTTTTCGGGGCTATCAAGTTCGACACCGGTCACCCCTAGTCCGGGTGTCCTGGTATAAACCATCCTGTGACGCGACCGTGCTTTGCTCCATCTTGACTGACCTGGGCTTTGTTTGGAGTGTTGTTGGGATGTTTGGCTGGATGTCTGATCCTGATAAATTAACTTTAATTCTAATAGCAAACATTGTTACTACTAGTAAGGCACTTGTTCCTAGTAGCGTGACACTTGTTTCTACTAGCAAACGTGGCAGCCCTTCAAAAAGAATACCCCAAGCCTTGCTTACAGGTTTGAGATGCAAAAGACAGACCTGCAGGTCAGGTCATGAAGGGGACTCTGAAGGGGTCACTTTGAAGTATGCCCTATGCCCTATAGATACAACGAGCACCCACCATGACGAAGCCACATTTTCCATGGCTTTCTTGTGCATGGTATTGTACGTTTTGAAGCAGCATGGCTGCATGGCTGGTCTGCAAGAACGTTACGTTGCCCTGCCTTTGAATGCGTTAACATAACATTAGGAGTGGCGCCGCTCATGGCGGTCATAGGATTTTGGGATGGCGAAGCCCGTGGTCTCCAAAGCGTTGGCATTTACAGGAAGGGCGCCACCAGAAAAAATCCTGGTACTTACAGGAACCGCCTGGCAGGTGCGCCACTTTCAAGTGGTGGTACCACTAACGATACCGAAGGATCCAGCGGATTTCAGGTTTGGGTTTGGGCCATGCTTTTCGGATGAACAGCGGAGGTGTTGTTGACTCCGCCCTGGCAGTTTTCGAGGTCATCGAGGGGCTTGAAGTAGCATGTAATGCCTTTGCGGTTGCTTGCTGTACAGCAGCTGTTGCAATCGCATTGTACCAAGCAATAGGTGATTCTGCGGCACCAAAAACAAGGTCGCAAGACTGGCCGTAAGACCTTGAACAAAGAAGCTTCCACGTGGAGGGCCCTCCTAAAGCCTTCCTCTTCCGACGTCCAACCTACCGGTTCATGTCAACCTAATTACTAATTCTTGTTTCTACTAGCTTCTTGTTACTACTAGTAAGGCACCTGTTACTACTAGCGTGGCACTTGTTACTCCTCTTTTCTCCCTTTCCGGTCCCGTCTTCTCGTCTCCGCCTTCGCGCCAGCGCCGCGGGAACCGCCCCGCGGCTCGCGTGGCTCGGCCAAAGGCCAATGGGCTCCAAGAGCCGCTGCCGGAGTTCCACAGCACCTGAAGGAAGTTTGGGGATCAAGGAGAAGATGTAAGCGAATTCGAAGGCAGAGCCAACATGCTGTTTCAGTCCCCTGTGCTTTTTTTTTGTCAACCTTTTTGCTTTCTGGAGATGTGCAATTTTTGGGTGCATGTGAGAAGAGAAGAGCTGCAATTCGTTTGCAGGGGATGGTCAAATGGTGAAATAGATTCAAACAGGATGTTGCTTGCTTGTAATGGCTCACAGAATGAAGACTTAACCGCCTATAGCTACAGTGATCTGAGCAAACGAGCCTGGAAATACGGGTTAACCTTTTCCATCTGATCATGTTTAGTGGAGAAAAGAACCCCTCAAAAGGTTTTGTAGGTGATCCACTTTTCCTGGGTAGAGAATGTTCACCCATCTCGCGCCTGGGTAGTGGAGACATGCGGCCATCAGCTGCCACTCCTCCATGTCCAAGCCTCACACGTGGTCTCCACGTGGTCTCCACCGCACGACGTGGAAACTCTGCGCGTGGACGTGGTGTCCATCCAAACACGTTTTTGTTGACCACATTGGCCCTCAAAAGAATCCAACACCTGAATTGGCCCGCCCTTACTCCCCTTTCCTTACTCCCCCCCCAAACCGATAGAACGCGCAGAAAGCCCACCGAACCTGGTTTTCCCACCAACGAAGCCAAGAAACTCTCCAAGTTCCACTCGTCACATGAACTGGCGTTGCCTGGCGCGCGTCGCGCGTCGCCGGCTCCGGGAGGTGAGGTCAATAGACACAAGAGCATCTTGTCAGAGGAGAGACCATTCTATCTTCATTGGGCCAGCTTGCTTCAACTTTATAGTAAACAAACCTGCTTGCGCCTTGCAATTTGTTAAAACTATTTGGGACCCTACAAAAACCTATAGTTTCTCCGACTGAAGGGAGAAGTCCAAAGTCTGGTGATTTGTGTCAACTTCGTCAAGTGATGCGCCGCCACCACCACCACCACCGCCACTTAACTCCACTTAACGAACCCCACCTTCCGATTCACCTGGCGCGCCGCCGCTGCCGTCATGGCCCCAGTGCCCGAGGTAGACGCCCCGACGGCAGCGGCTGAGACCGCAATCTTTCAAAAAAACGGGAAGATCCAGGGTTTGCAGCAGCTCGGGGTCGTAGGACTCCTCAGAAAGCGGACCAAACAGACACTTTCAAGCCAAGAAGACGGCTGCGCCGGCGGTTTAGTTGGTTGGGAGACCAGATCACAATAAAGGCAAGTCGCTTGGGTTTAGGTTCAGATGGATGTGCTTCAAATTTGCTCCGGCAAGAGATCCCAAACAGTGGCAGGCCCACGAGGTTTAGGTCTAGCCGGTCTAGCAACAATCTTGAGAGGTCTTGAGAGATCTAGAGGTCGGGACTCCGAGCGTTCAAAGGTCGCTCTATCTGAAGTTCCGGTCTGGAGGTCTATACCAGGACCCTCCAAGGGGTGTCTATTTATAGCCCCTTAGCTGTTAAGGGGTGTCCATTAACCACCCCTTGAGGGTGCTGGTCGATTCTTAGATCCAAAGAGATCGAGAGAGGAGACAGAACTCTCGAGATCGAACCGGAGGTCGAACGAGAGAACAAGGCCCTGACGGTCAGGTCGAGATCTAACACCCCAAACATCCAGATATCAAGAGCTGGTCTAGAGGCCTAGAAAGCTAGAGGCTAGAGGTCTCAAGGCCAAAGAAGTCCTCAGATGCATATCTAAAAATCGAGGTCTACAAGGGCAGAAAGGGCTACAAAGGCTAAAGGTCGACAGAAAATCCAAAGCGCACCAGAGTAGAATCTAGAGGTAGAGGTCTGGGTAGCGGTCTAGAGAGCACAAGTATGAGAGCATACCAACAAGAGCGCGCACATGAGAGCGCATACATGGAAATCTGGGCTTCAAGGTTCATAAATGGTTGCTCCTGCCACGAAGTCTGCGCCCCAAGGTTCACAAAATTCTGCGCCTGTGACAAACTCTGCACTTTCCCTGGCAGGAGAAAGGCGGGAACCCGAATTAAGATGAATTAAGCACATCTGTGTTCCCGGCAAACTGCAAATATGCTCTGACTCTCTGAACACTTCTCGTGCTGGTCTAAGATCTTCGAAATGGAAACCACATATAGACAGCCGAAGTCGGTGTAGCCTGGTCGTTGCAGGTCCAACATCCCATCAGGGTTCCTCGGGCGATCAAAGGCCATGCGCCCGTCCATCGACACCACTGCCTCCTCATCACTGCTAGCGACCCCAGCGAACCGGCAACATCGGAGTGGTCGTCACTTGTTGCAGAGCAGCACATCATCCTTCAACTTTCGGAATTGGTCAGTGACAGCTGTTTACTTCAAGGTTCACAAAATGCTGCTCCCACCACCAAATCTGCACTTCCCGGTTCACAAAGTGCTGCGCCTGCCACGAAGACTCGACTTTGGACCACCAGCGGGAGGCAAGGCATGAAAAGTGACCACCAAGTCCCAAAACGTGGACAGCACTACAGCGAGAGCACAGTGGAGGAAAGCACCCAGGCCAGCCAGAGAGGCACTTCGAAGATCTTGAGAGGCATGAATGCATTGTACATCACAGCGACTTAGCCATGATGCCGATGAACACCACTGATCATGTGAGGTAGAGATTATGAGTCAAGTTCCAGAAGGCTCTGGGAAACGACGCAACTGCTCTTCAGCCAGGCGGATCCTTCGTTTTTCGGCCCCATGTCTCACGTCTCCCGGAAGTTCTATTTTCGCCGGAAAAAAAAACCCTCGCAATCATAGGTCAAAAGCGGGAAGGACTCAAAGGACACCAAGATGAAGAGTTGATGAACTGCTTCACTCCCTGTAACCATCATGGTTAGGTGGATGGCACTTCGCCATCCAAGCCTCAGATGACCATGGTGGTGCCATCCACGTATATAACTGTGAGGATTTCAAGGAGTGTATACTTGACACTTACAATGGTTTCAGAGTATTCATGAAACAACCCCCACGATGTCTTTTAGATGGGGGTCCAACCAAACCATCTACTCTCCAAACCAACCATCGACTCTCAAGTCACTATGACCGCGCTTTGCGTTTGTTCTTGGGCACGATCACAAAACTGCGTGAGATGTCTGACTCTTCTCTTTCAATTCGGGCAGCATGCTTTGATGTCACATGTCTTCGCCTCAAAATAGCTTCGGGCCTCCTCAAACCAATGGGTTTGGTTTCACCCGCCCCCTCCAAACTACCTCAAGCCCGATGTTGCTACCCCTACTTAGGAGGGTCCATAAGCACCTGGGACCCCCGGTATAACGTCCTGTTCTAAAAGAAATCTGTTGGTCATGAGCTCGGCCCAGTCTCCGATGAGGCGACGGAGCTGGCATCCGTGGCTGCCAACGTCCGTGGGACGCCGCTGGACGCGGCTCGCGGCAGGTCGAGTGACTGGCGGGCGCTGATGGCACGATGAATATTTTGAGGTGAAGGAGTCAAGGAGTCATCCAGAAAGTGAGGGATCCAAACATGTCCCGAAAATCATCCGGTCCGAGCGATCATGCCATTGGGGCATTCGCTGTTTCCTCACCTGCAGATACATCCAAACACTTTAGGTTGGAGGCCATTGCTACTAGGGTGGAGGCCATCGCTACTAGGTTGGATGCCATGCTTTCTTTTCTTTTATTGCGTTTACTTTCATCAAAAACTCGTTACAAATTCATGAGCAAAGGTTCTGTTGAACGAATGTTGGGTTGTTTTGGCATATCTCTACCATAAATCTTCCTTGCCCTCAGGCCAATCAGAGACCGAACCAACCAGGGGATCAAGTTCTTCTTTCACGAACAAAGACCGAACCAGGTGGGCAAATATCACTCTTTTTAAGACTCAAGGACCCTCAGTTCGGTGAAGGTTTGCTTCGGGTCCAAGGGCCCCCCTGCTATGCATGCAGGGTCCTATGCACGGTCCAAAGCCTCCAGTTTCGGAGGGCCCAATGAATCTTAGGGCTGTTGTGCTTGTTGTTCCAGCAAAGGTTGAAGAACCCGAACTAGGCTATCCTAGTTCGGTACCCCTGGTGACGGGTCCTAGTTCAGGCCACTTAACCTCTGTTGGTTAGCCTCACCTCGATCCGAACCACATCGGACCCGAAGGCCCAACACCGTCGACAAGGGAACATCGACCGAGTCGGTGCGCATTGGAGCCCCCGGTGTGGTGTGTTCCGGTTGAAAGCCCTGTTCATTGATCATGATAGATCATAATATCATCAATATCCATATACACGAAGAATCTTGGTGTTCAAATATTTCCCCAACATTGGTGGTGAATGATGACTGCCAGGTGGGGTAGTTCGGGCAACCATTGCTGTTTTCCTTTCTAACCTGTTAGAAGGCTTCCATCCGGTTGCGACCGAAGTGGCCCATCCCAGAACCTCCTTCAATCCAGGTGAAGGGTCCCCACCTTCACCGCTTCCACCCGCTCCGCCGCGGGCGCCGCGTGGGTCAAGTGATGCTCTGATGCGGAGTCTGGTGTGCGCCCGGAAGGCTCCTGAAGCGGCGCACAGGTCGGCGATTCGCTTTCACCGCCACACCAGTGCCCGGTGGTTCTGCCGCGCCCCGTACCGAGCCCTTTTTGGTGTTTCACCATCAACTCTTTGGTGTTTGGTGTTTCACCATGAGTCGAGAGAAACTCCACCGCCGTCCACATGCACCGCACGGTCGGTGCCGGTTCACTCACCGTTTGTCCTCCGAACCGCGACGGGCCACCCCACCCCGGACGGGCGCCGCTCGGAGTCCGCTGGAGATCCCCCACATTCGCTGGATTCCCAGATCAGGTCTTCGACGTTCCGCGCAAACACCCTCCGCTCTCATCCGCTCTCATCCGCTCTCCACTCGCGCGAGGGTTGAAACCGACGCATGGATAATTGCCTCCCCCGACCAGTGATCAGTGTCTTTTCCTGGCTCTTCGTCGCAATAGGACGCAATAGGCAATAGGCTTCTGCGACCATTTTCACCGCCCCTTGTGTCCACCGCTGTTTTGCAAAGTCCCACCTCGGCTCTCGGGAAGAACGGCGAGTCCAGCGCTGGAGGCGAGTCCTCGCCTCCCACGGCCTTCGCCGTCGCGACGGCGTGCGCCGCGGCTGTCGCGGACGCGTGAGGCGAGGAGAACTTGTCCACCGCGGAATGCAGCAGTCGGGGCAACCTGAGAAGGGTCCCGACCAGGACGGAGGGTGCGGGACGGACGATTCAGATGCTTGGTAGGTCCAGTTGCTTGATGTCTAATTGAGCCATGCCAAAAACCTCTATCCTAAGCCCTTATACGAACAACATGCTTTCGCAGATCCTTACGCGCTGCTTGCGCGACCACAGTCTTAGCTTTCGCGCGCATTGGTGTTCCAACAGTTGCTTTCGCAGGCGCTTTCGCGCGCTGGCCTCTTTAGTGGGGACGGAAGCATTGTAAGTACGCTAGGTTTTCTTTGGGCAGGGACAGTATAGGAAGCAGCAGATATACCACACGCATTTTCTACTCCAGGTTTGCTTTCGCGCTTCCTTCGCGAAGCTTTCGCGAAGCTTTCGCGGATTCTAGTCCCATCACCAGCTTTCAGATACTAAATGAATAACTGTTTGACTTGGTTGTGTGCCAGCATTAATATATGCTTTCGCAAGACCTTTCGCATCCAATACTCTTCAGGGTCTTTCGCAAAATGCTTTCGCGAGCTTTCGCGGCCTGGGTTTTAGCTTTCGCGCCACAACGTTAGAATAACTCTCTTACTAAACCTTTACATGGGAGTTTATGGCGCTGCTCAATTAGGTGAGATGAATTGATATTTCGAGCACGTATCTTGAGTTAATGCGGGTAAAACAGGTAAGCTGCACCCCCGAGCAGCCCCAGCTTGTGGCGCGAGCGATTTCAGAGAACGCTCATCTTCAGAACCCACTTGGGTGTTTTGGGCATAGGACTACCACGTGCTTGGGTGAATTCAAAAGCAATTTGTGGCGAAGAGGTGTGCCGCAAAGTTGAGATGCTCTGAATGCTTGCAGTCCATTCTTGAGCTTCGGCATCTGTCAATTTTGCTGCACACAGGTGTAGCCGTGGCACAAGCGTTCTGCAGCGAATCCACCCCAATCTTTACCCACTCTGCACTACCCCCTTACTTCACACAGGGCAATTGATAGCCCCCGAACAAAGGTGATTTCAGGGTGTCCATTCACCACTACGACCGTGCTTGGCAAAGACATGCTTTGAAACAAGGAGCACTCTGCCATCTCTGCCATCTCCATCCCGTCCGTCGCTGGAAAAGGTCCCATGCAATGCATCATCCGAAAGCTGAGAGCTTCTTCCATGCGCGCTGTCAAAGCAGCCATGATGGCCATGATCCAGATGATCAGCAGTACCATCTGCTCCATCTTCACTGCAATGCTGCGCACTTCGATCATCTTCATCTCCTTCATCTCTTGCATCTCCTCCATCTCTTTCATCTTCTTCCTCTTCATTTCCGTCATCTCGTTCCCTCCGATCACGCGATCCGCCCGGCGATCCGCCCGTCACCTCGCCGCCCTTCACCTCACGCGCAGGCTCGGCTCGCGCGCTCCGGTGGGACCGGAGCGAACGTCGCGGAAGGGATCTGGGACGCTACGTCGTAGCAGTCGTGCATGGCTATACTAACTACAAGTGCATGACTACTAGTAGCAAAGAGGTGGATGATTTGAGGGGTGAAAGGACGACAAAGCCCGAAGGTTCTGCATTTTTGGGAGGTGAGCGCATAATTCTAAGAGATCATCACGGGAGATCACTAAAGACTTCCCAGACCTCCTGACTTTCCAAGACGATCTTGAAACCAGAAACCCGATGATTGGAGCCAGGAGTGTTGAGGGACAGCGTCGCAATATGTGACAAAAGAAAAACATGAAAACAAGGAAAAAGACAACTTAAGCTTTCTATGATCTTTCTATGTTTTTTCTATGCGTTTCTTTGTCTTTGTTGTCTTTAGTTTTCTCTTTTTCCAAATGTCACTAATGTCGGTTGCGGAATTCAATCCAAAGCACTCCCTCGGTCGGCCAGTGCATCTCGCTCGCCGACCCTCGGTCGGCAGCCGGATTGTCAGCATCGGCCTCAGTTATTTTCTTCGAGGCTCTGGGGTAACCTCTCAATCTATCACCTCCATTCACCTCCTGTTTTTGGACCTTTGCGATAGCCAACGGCAGTGCCTTTGCGATAGCCAACATGAACCTAATTCCGAATGATATATGCGCACTGGACCTCTATCACCTTGCAAAAATGCTTGAAACTAGAACAAAGAGATACAGAGAGCAGTGAGTTCCGGGGCCATGTTCTGAGCTTTGGAGCCGAGTTGTGAAATTCCAATCACCCATCATCCCTCAACATCCTACTCAGCTGTCCAAAAGCTCCCAAGGTGCGCTCCCAAAGCATCCAAAGCGTCGACCGTCTTGTGATCGACCGCAGCATGCTTTGACGGCTGCCAAAATCCAAAACCCGACTCATGTGGAAGAATTCTGAAACGCCTGATAGCTAGCATCGCCAGTCTTCTAAGCGATTCTTCTTCAAAAATCATCCCTGTTGAACCCAACACACACATCATACATCTCCAGAATTTCCTCCATCTGCTTCCGTTCGACTTCCTCCCTCCCCCGCACCTGCGCCATCCATTCCGTGGCCCTCTCCGACAGCAGCTCCTGCCACTCCACCGCTGCCGTCGTCGCGCGGTTCGCCGCGCCAGCCGGACGGTGCACGTCCGTGTGCGCTCCATGCGCGGCCCGTCCCTGTCGGGCTTGGGGGGGGCGCTCTCGGCCGCTGAACCCGCTCCGTGCACCCAAAACGGCCGCCTGGCAGAACGGCGAACGAGAGAGGTCCGGGAAGCGCTCGGATTGGGTCGCACAAGTGTTTTTAGTTGGAAAAGCTAGCGGTGAACCCGGTGAACTCGAGCTTTTTGGACTTCTGCTCTGTTAGGTTCCAGTGGGCTGGAAGTTGAGATCGGAAAATGACGATTTGCCTCGTTTGCTGGTTGGCTCCTACCATGGTTGAGGCACCACCTCAAGCCCTAATTATCCTGGCAGCCTCTGCCGGAGTCTCAGGCGTTCCCCATCTGCTCTTACCACAACCAAAGAAGTCGTCTTCCTCTACATCGAGCTCATCAAAAGAGTTAACCTCCCAAAACCATCCGTTTAGGACGGATTTGCTCTTAGATATCTGCTCCTCCGCCGTACCACGAGACGGTACGCTCCATCACCATGACTTCGCTCGTCGACCGGAGCCTCCTCACTGAACATGGTGGCGTCGCCCTGGCGACGACGCCCGTGGGCCCCACAGGGGTCGACGTTCGTGTGCCATTGGTTGCTACTAGGAATTGAGTAATATTTCTCATGTGAGAAAAATTCATTACTCAATCCAGGTGCTTTGAGCTTCTCGAGTGCCCAGGGAAGGCGCTTAACCAACCGAGGCTACATGGTGGGGTGGTGAGTCCCACCTGAGCAAATCGAGAAGTGTACCAAAAAAGTGTTCTGCATTTAGTGCGCGCTCTGCACTTTCATTTGACCTTGAAGCTACGAACGGGGGCTCTTGGCATCGCTACGAACGGCACAAGGACGCGAACCGAACGGAGCGGTCAGGGCATCGGAGACGAAACGGAGCGATCGGACGCTATACTATAGGAGCCCCCCTGGCCTTACGAACGGAGCAAGAGGCACGCGACCCGGGTTAGGAGCAAGAGAGGCACAGCAACGAAGGCTCGGAGCAATTGGCTGGAGTCCGAAATCGAAGACTTCCTCCAAAACAATCCTTCTTGCCTAGAGAGACAATCTGCCTAGGAGTGAAGGAGGAACGAGGTGAGACAATTGATGACCCTGAGCCTGTTTGTGATGCGAAGACCACTCTTAAATCCAATCAAACGCAATTCCCAACGCTTGATTGTTCTCGATTCGGATTCTCTCTGTCCACATTCCATTCAATAGGTGACTCCTACAATCTCCTATATATAGCTATACGATGCTATACTCGCCACCTGCAACTTTGAAGTCAAACGCCACCACACCTGTCCTGAAAAAGCCGAACCGTCCCCGTCACCGCCCTCTCCGGCCTCGCGCCCGTTCTTCTCGGCGTCGATCGACGTCGTCGTGCTGAAGTCGCCGCGCTTCGAAGCGGCGAGGTCGTCGACCTCGGAGGGAAGACGAGTCAAAGACGACGGTGTAGTCTTCGGCGATTCCACAGTGGGCGAGGCGGTGGCGAGCCGGTGGCCCGAAGTGGCTGGGCTTCCATGTCGAACGAGGAGGAACCGGAAGAAGCGAACTCCGAACGAGTTGGGACCCGAAACGGCGAATAGAAAGGTCGGTCGGTTAAGGGACCAAAGCATCTGACACTCAATCAGCATGTACTAGTACTGCAGGTGGATGAATTGAAATGCTTCTCGTGATTGCCAAGAGGTCCACATATATTTGGCTCTCCTTCTCAAGTGTTAAGCCAATGATCAATTCGTTAGAATCAAATGTTTCGCATTGTTTCGCCCCTTGCAAAACATCCCTTGCAAATCCTTGAGGCCCAACTCCGATCTCAGACACGAACGCCAACCCCATGGCTGCCAACCCGGTACACGGAGTTTTCGTGGTCGAAAAGGGATCGCTGGGGTACGGTACACTGGGACGCATTCTTCCTCCTGGGCATCCCATATCGACTTGGCCATGGCACTCCCCATGGCCCCTTTCAACTCTGCCAAGCGGATCAGATGTCGTGCAAGTTCGATCAATGGCGCTGCTTATCTCTATCCCTGCGAGCCAAAGATCTCTGTAACGACCAATTTGGAGGATCCTTTCAATCTTTCCCCTGGAAAGCACACCAAACCGCCACGTTTGGGACCCAGAAATCCTGGCGAAGCCACTGATGGTTCTGCTCGGCGCTGCTCGATGGGACACACGTTGCCATCATCAATCTGAATGGATTGGATTGCTTGGCGCATGGCCTCGTGAGCAGGCGAAATCGAAGCTGGGCTGGGCTGAGTGAGGCACTCATTGCAGAAGAACTATAGGGACAGACTGGAAGCTTAGCCATTGGGGGTTTCTTTGGATTCTTCTGCTGCTCCTAAGCGAAGCAGAAACTCTTTCTTCCCACCTCAATGAACAAACCCAACCCGAAACGCCTCTTTTTCCTCTCCAGCAACGAACTGGTCATGACTGGTTTTAGTAATAGGGAATGCGATGACATGAGGAAAGTTTCGCCTTTCAAAAAAAACGAGATTCCTTTCCCCCACTCCAACTCACTCCCTTATGCTCAAGCTCTTCATATTGGGGTGTTTCTTCATCCAGATTCTACATGGAACCTCCGACTTGCGGTCTTCTCCGGCCCTGTCCGAGGGCATGGATCCATGTTCCAAGCTGCTGCAATGTCACTCTGCAGCTCTTCCAGGAGCGCCTTGGAGACGCCGCCTTCTTGCACGCTGCTCCTCAGCCGCCCGTGTCTGGTCGTCTGGTCGACGGTCCGGACGGTCCAGAGGGAGGCATGACACGTGGAACGATCCAAGGCATGTCCGACTTCCTGGCACGACCAGAAATGGGAACAATGACCTGTAGTGTAAAAATGCTAAAACAAGTTAAAACAGTGGCGGTTCGGGATTCAGCCTATATAATCAATGGTCGGCCAGGAAGCCTATTGTGTCCGTAGTTTGTCCGCAACGTCTTGCGCTTCACTGGTCTGAGGCGCTTCACTGGTCTGAGGTTCTCCGCTCTACTGACGGCCTCTGGTCCCAGAAATTGAGGGTGAACAATTCTCCCACCGTGGACCATCTCTTTTTGATTCTTTTTGCCCCCCCCAAAACAAGGTTCAGCACACAGACTGAGCACGCTTCAGCACATCAAGCCCAGTTCACCACAAGAACGAACCACCGCATCTCCGGTCCGCTCACCGTTCGACCGCTCCACCCTTCCTTCCGGTGGAGACCCAGGCGTCAAGTCCGCTGCGATCTCATCAAGGCAAGTGGTGTGGGAAAGGCCCGTGGCGTGGAGATTGCTGAGCAACTGAGTGCAAATGGAGATGGAGTCAGCGATCTGGCTGATCTCGGAGTTGACGCTCTCCTGAGTCGACGACGAAGGAGCTGAAGTGGAGAAAAGAGAATGGGAGCTGGGGAGCCTGATCGCTACACATGGACTGGCCCAAGGGTGGTCTATAGATGGTATCCGAATCAAGTACACATATAAGTACCATGCCTTTGTAGAGACTTTTCTTCTGCATCCATCGTTCTTGGAGGACAAGCGAAATGCATGCAAAATGCCACAATTTCACACGAAGGCCATCCAACATGGTGGAACCAACATGCTCGGAACCTGGAATGAGCCTTTTTGGTGGCAGTGCCATGCCGTGCCTGCGATTCCACCTTCAGTTGTGAGACACAGGTTGTCTGCTGTTTCCGGTGCAACCCATCGGCAACGCAGATCTTTTCTGGGTATTCTCCGGCACTTCCTCACCCAACCATGTTGATTGATATATAAAAGTATTCCCTATCGCTACTGAAGTAGAAGCTACTAGTAGCGTCCGAAGCTTCCTTGAGAATCGTTTCACCTGTAGTAACAAGAAGCTATAGCGTAGCAATCTAGTAGCTATTTGCTATGGTTTCTGGGCACTTTCTGAGACTTGATTTGACCCCAGGAACAAGAAGCTACTAGTAGCAAGAAACATATTCCCCATCGCTACTTAAGTACCCAAAATTCTCCGTGACCTTTTCCAGGTGCGAGAACGAACCGGCCAGGGGATC